CACCCTTTTCCCCGCAATTAAAAAACAAAACAAACAACAACAAAGCAACAAACAAAAAAACATCAACATGAACAAACAAAAGCAAACAAAAAGCCACAAGATAACCCACCTAATAAAAAACAAACAAACACGCACACACAAAAAAGGTTTATAATAATAATAATAATAGATAATAGATAATAGATAGCATTTGTATAGCGCATATCCCCGCTCAACAGCAGGCTCTATGCGCTTTACACTATATTATGAACAGAAGATTAACATGACAGAAATCTAGTACAGTACATGAGTACAAAAGAATGTCAGATGGTCTTGGAAGGCGGTTTCTGATTCCCCGCCATATGTTGCTTGGATTCTGTTCCCAACAACGGTCTAGTAAGTAGATGATCGATGCCAGTGGTATGTCATACTTCTTTACCACTTATACTTACCTGCCACCCCCCCCCCTTTCTATCGCCCCGGCCAATCACTACGAGGTACTCAAAGAGAAAAATCCTCAAACGGCAGAGTAGCACGAAGGTAGACTACATGTACTTAATATCACGGTAAGACGAATGTGGTGAATAGCATCTGCCTTATATTTTTTTGCTCCTTTCTTCTCCTGTATTTTTCCTACTCGGCAGAGAGGGATCGGATCGTAGGCCTAAGGATTGTATTGTTCATGTTTGACAACCCCTTTTACAACACTTGGATAATTTAGGAGGCTCGCCGCTTCCACTCCATGGGGGAAAAAACCTCAACTCGGTAATCAAACTCGTGTCTTCTGCTTCCAACAGCGAGGTGCCTAACTGCTACACCACAGGCATCGGTGGAGAGTGCTCCGACTTTGCAATGAAATAAATAATTGAATACAGTAGTGCACATACTCATACAAATGCAAACACAAACCAGACTAAATAATATTTCTTTGATTTTTGTCTGTCGTCTAACTTAGCTCAAGGGAAGTCCAACCGGGGTCTCTGGTGCAGCAGTTAAGCCTCGTGTTGTCGCTTGCAGAAGACGTGAGTTCGAGTCTGGGTTTTCTTTAATCGTCTCACAATTAGCAGAAGACTGAAGATAGATAGATAGATAGGTAAACAGATAGATAGATAGATAGATAGATAGATAGATAGATAGATAGATAGATAGATAGACGCAGAAATCTTTACATATATTTATTTATTTACTTATTTTTGTATTTATGTGGCGTCGATCGCCTTGTGATTAAGGCTCCCGACTCGCAACAGTAAGGTAGTGAGTTCGAATCCCGTCAGGAGCTCGACGTTGTGTCCTTGGGAAAGGCACTTAACACGAATTTTCCTCACTTCGCCCAGGTGGGAATGGGTACCCAGCTATAGACAGCGAAAGTCTTGTCATTTTGTTAGTCTTTGAAAGCTTAAGGAGCTGCTTGCACTGTATGCTTCTTAGGAAGCTGAGAATATTTCGGAGTGTTCTATTGTCTACTGGGGTAATGATATAGTGTAAAGTGCCAAGACTTGCTGTTGAGCGGGGGTATGCGCTATACAAAAGCTATTTATTATTATTATTATTATTATTATTATTATTATTATTATTATTATTATTATTATTATTATTATTATTATTATTTATTTGTTTACTGATTTATTTATGTATATATATAAACGCTCACTAACTCACTCACATAGTGTACAACAAACATTCACACACACACACACACACACACACACACACACACACACACACACACACACACACACACACACACACAGAGATGAGAACAGCTTAACAAAGCTTTAAAAGGAAATCTTTACAGAATGATCTTAGGTACACACACGCAGACACATAATAAAACACAGCTTTACCAGCAAAGAGCATACAATACAACTAGATCAATATTCTGGTTGTGCTTTATGAAAGCCTGCACGGCGTCGGTGATACACTTTCTTGCTGGCATATGATATACTGTAATAAATGTATTATAAATGATAATTCATGTATTATTCCTTTAATTAGTTTATTTCATCTTTTCATCTGTTGGTGTGGATGGCGGATGGGCGGGCCGGGTTAAAGTGGCGAACGGACACCCTCTGTTGGTCATAGTTCGTCTCTCCTAAGCTCTGATATTTAAATAGTGAACTGCCCCGCCCACAAGCTGTGCAAGTTCTCCACTGGCGTAGTGCTTATCAAACGCCAGAACTTCTTTAGCATGGTTATAATATAATGTGTCTTTTTCTGCCGCCCAGCCAACCATTTTACGTTATGATCTGTTGACAGAAGGCCCGTCAAGCAACATTTAATAACAAAATAAAAAATAAACGTCTCCAGGATTTAAAAAAATGAATAATCTATTTATTCATTTATTCATTTATTTATTGTTCAATTTTCATTTCCGACATTGGTGGGCGCTAATAACGTTGTCCCTTTTCTAAGGCTAATTATGAATCTTGCGCAAGTACTTTTATTCACCATAAGGTAATTTAAAGAAATGCACGCTCCCTGTAGAATTGAGGAATCCTTTGTGGGTGGTTGAGGAGATCAAGATGTAGAAGCTCCTGGAGTAGGAGTAGCGCTGAATGATGACGCTGTTGTTTGGTGCCGTGGAGACGGAAGTGACGTTGACGACATCGACGAATGTCCATCGTCTGCTGAACACGATCTCGCTGTGGTTCTTGTTCCACCGGATGTCTGAGAGACAAATAAATACAGAGAAAAGGTTTTTTTAACCACAGTAAACTTCTTATGACTCCACAGCTTACGGTAATGGTCACAGTCCCGCCTTTAATTTTTCAATGAAAAAGAACGTCAGAAAACAAAGTATTTCCCTTAATATAAGGCCTGCCTTTAAAATAGCAAACGCAAAACAGACAGACTGAATTGTTACAAAAAGAAACGAAAGCAAACAACAGCAACAATTATAGCAACAACAGCAAACAACAACAGTAGCAACATCAGCAGCAGAAGCATGAACAATAACAACAATAACATCAATAACAACAACAACAACAACAACAACAACAACAACAACAACAACAACGAACAGCAGCATCAGCAACACCAGAAAATGCCTACACGCTATACCAAACCATTAATCACCTGATATTCTGCCGACCCATATCTCGTTGCCGAATGGGGGAACTAGAGTCTGTCCATTGATGGCGTAAGCCAGTGAGTAACCTGTCGCTACTGCCTGCCGCAAACTGAGAAAGTCTCCAATCAAAGCACCTCCCAGATCTTGTTGATACACCGAGGCACTGGATGAATAAAAAGCAAAAGCATACAAGTTAAAAAAAGAGAGCCTGTGGTTGAACACCCAAGCAACCAAAGTTCAAGAATTTCGAACAACGATCTCACTTGTACCGCATGGTGTCCAAGGGAGATGGAAAGTGTGGACATGGGTCAGGAGTGTTACCTTTTGGATCTCCATAGTGTTACTTTAAAGGGCCTCTTTAATTTTGTTGACCCATCTTTTCCTTGATGTTCCCCTTTCTTTGAATACACGAAATCTTACGTTATAGGCCTCCAAGGTTGGTTGCTGTGGCCCCATTCTAATACATCATGTATCCAAATCATTTCCGAGTGATACCGACCAATACTGGAGTCCCCCCCCCCCTCCCCCCTAACCAAAAAACCCCAAAACAACAACAACAACAAAAACAACAACCCAAAACAAAACGATAACAACAAAAAACAACAAACAAACAACAACAACAACAACAAAAACCAACCCCACCCATGCACACACGACTATTCCCATCGCAGTCCACTATCGTGTCGTTTCTCCCTAGTTCAGTACAAGTAGATCTACACGACCACTAAAAATATTCCCGATTGTGTCCATGCGCCTTTTCTGTACATCTAAATGTACCGGTATGCGTAATTTCTTGTTTTACCTGGTGTGAACAGTGTGTGTGTGTGTGTGTGTGTGTGTGTGTGTGTGTGTGTGTGTGTGTGTGTGTGTGTGTGTGTGTGTGTGTGTGCACTGCTATTTGTGTGTTGATAAATACCTGTACTGACGTCCAAGGACAAACAGACGCTGAGAAGGGTACAGTTGGGTGGGTTTGTCCGCTCGATTGTGTATACTCTTATATTATTATGAACTCGATAACGGACCGATGGATAATCTGGTGGTGCAGAGCAAAGCCGCTTACTTCAAGGCCATGACCTTGTTAGTCACGTGTACTCGTTGCTATAAGCTCTGGGGCTGGGCACTATTTTCGAAAAGTAAGTGATGTTGTTGTGCAATACTATTTAACTTACAAAAGATAAAACAGCGTCGAAGAGAATTACAATCGAGTTAAAATTAGAGGTTCTTTGTCTAAGAAATTATGAATATTTGCGGAGTCATGCAGTATGGGACATTTTAAAAATCTCATTTGTCTTGTCAGTTACCGAAACTAAATACGTCACAGATTTTGCATCGTCTTTTGTTTGTTTATTTTTTAATTTTTTTTGCAAATTACTGCATTTAATATTATTATGATTCTTGAGATGTCTTTCAAATATTAGTATCATTTAAAGTTGAAATAAATTAATTGATATTAAATTACACTGTTGTCGTTGTAAGAAAGTATAGTCCAAATGTCCCGTCAGTTACCGTGGAATAGTCCTGTATATGATATACTGTCAAACCCCGCTAAACCGCCTGCTTTGGGACGAGCATGAAGTTGGCGGTACAAAGAGGCTGGCGGTACAACGAGGTTTTCTCATGTCTTCTGTTAAATACACGTAGCATCGTCTGTCCAATGTCAAGGAAACTAAATGAAGTAATGAGTTACCTCCTTCTATCTGTCAGTTAGAAATGGGCGGAAGTCCTCACTAAAAGGTATCCACCAGCTTTTCTTCTTTTTTTTTTTTGGTTAGTGTTTTACGGCGCTCGCAACTGCATAAGGTCATATGAGCGCACGGGACACATTAACCATTTTTAGTCGGTTGGAAATTTTGAATTTTTGTCGGGTGGCGGCCGAAGCCTACTCTTATCGGTTTTAGACCCCCAAGGGATCTTTAACGTGCGCAACTTGAACTCGGACCTCCGAGATTTTTCGCCCTGTCCGAGAAGGCTAGGTGTAGATCGTTCCTACCAGAAGATTAGGGGTGTGGCTGAAAGACAGCAGTAAGAAGGAGCCAAGGAGTAGCAGTATAAAGGCTGCAGAAAGCGTCAGAAGCCCAGTGGAGGGGGCAAAGGGGGTGGGGGCAGAAAGTGGAGACGAAAGCAGAAGACAGAACATTGCTTGAGAGCAGGAAACAAGGAGAAAGAAAACAATTTTAGAGAAGAAAATGTTTTTCGGTCGCTACCCGGATTCGAACCCCGGACCTTTGAATGAGAGGCGAACACCCTAACCTCTAGGCCACGAGAGCCCCTTCATCAGCTTGTAAGTTATTGGGCTCATATCTGGCAACGTCAGATATTTTGACGGGAGGCCGAGATGGCGAAGTTCCTTTAAAGTTTCTCCAGGCGACATAAAAATTTAATTCCATTTTTTAATGTTATGTTGACCAAGGCCTAGATTAAATAGAATAAAATTTTCATAATCGGCGTATCAGATTTACTCGGAGGTTCTCGGGGAGCGAAACTTAAAGCTGGTTTACAATGTTACCTTTTATTTTAATTGTACTCTTCTACATTACACATTGTATTGTGTTCGCTTGCGACACACTACATCACTGAAAATCTATCCATATTGTCTGAAATCTACAAGACAAGGGTAGGCCTATGGTGGTGGGATGGGCGGGTATGGAGCAAATCGTTGAAAAGAGTTTGATCTAGACCTAGGCCTAACTCGTAGACTTGTGAGTAAAAGTAAAAGATTGTCAAGCAACCACCAAGTGGATGTGCTGTGCGCGTGTGTAGCCAAGTGTGTAGGCTACTGTGTACTTCTGACGTCAGTTCGTTGGCAGTACTACAGGGTAGATTTACAGTAGATTAGTAAGGACCATACAACCGAGGCAGTTGGCGGATGGCGGTGTAAAGGTGCAAATACATGCACTATGTTTATATAGTACATTGGCAAAATCTGGGGGTAAGCGGGGCTGGCGGTACAACGAGGGGCGGTACAACGAGGTTTGGCTCTCTCTCTCTCTTTCTCATATATATATATATATATATATATATATATATATATATACATACTCACATAGAGAGAGAGAGAGAGAGAGAGAGAGAGAAAGAGAGAGAGAGAGAGAGAGAGAGAGAGAGAGAGGGAGAGAGAGGGAGAGAGAGGACGGGGTGGAGATAATTAGATTGAGGCAAAGAGAGAGACAGAGAGAAAGACAGATTCAAGAAGAGAAGAACCGCTTCCTTATATGAGAGGCCTGAAGCGTCCAGCTGCCCCCGTCGTCAAATATTACCTGGGACCAATTAGAGAGAAAGAAGTAGATGAGTTTGTAAAAAAAGCAAGAGCAAAAAGTGCACCTGGAGGAGATGGCGTGTCTTATAAGGTGTTCAAGTATTGCGAAACGCTGAGACACACCCTCTTTGAGATGCTAAGAGGCCTTTGGAAAGACAAAGAAATCGTCAAAGATTGGTGCAGAGCGGAGGGCGTGTATCTACCCAAAGAACAGAATGCAAAGGAGATAGGACAGTTCAGACCTATTTCAATCATCAACGTGACGTGCAAGATCTTTATGGGAATACTTGCAAAGAGGACTGTAGCATATTTGCAAAGTAACGGCTATGTGGATGAAACGGTTAAGAAAGCCGGGGTACCAGGGATCCCAGGCTGCATCGAGCATGCTTTCACCATTTGGGACAAAATCCAAGAGGCCAAGAAAAACAAGGAAAGTTTAAACGTAGTGTGGTTGGATCTTGCGAATGCCTACGGGTCTGTTCCCCATAAATTGCTGATGAAGGCAATGGATTTTTTCTACGTCCCGCAAGAGGTGCAAAACATCATGAAAGAATACTATAGTAACTTCCAGATGCGATTCTCAACCGCAAATTTCACAACGGAATGGCACCGACTAGAGATTGGGATTGCAGCTGGCTGCTCTATATCGGTCATCTGGTTCATCCTGGTAATGGAGATGCTACTGAGATCTGCAGAATGCTGTGAAGAAGAAGCAAAGGTGAGATCACCAAAGAAAGCCTTTATGGATGATGTGACCCTACTGACAAGAGATGGAGACACAATGCAAAGTATGTTGAATCGGCTCGATAAGCTTATCACCTGGGCCAGGATGAAGTTTAAAGCTAAAAAATCTAGAAGCCTGACTATTCACAAAGGGAAACAGAAGCAACTGAAGTTCACAATTGCAGAGGAGCAAATGTCCACAGTAAAAGAACAACCTGTGAAAAGTTTGGGTCGGTGGTACTCAGGAACTCTGTCTGATAGGAGTCAAGGCGTGGAAATCATGAAGCAGGCTGAAAATGGGCTGAAAGCAATTGACCAGACAATGAGGTGCTGAAAGTGCTCACGACAATGGCGACAAAGCAGGTGGAAGAAGGAAAATACGCCCCCAAGATACAGAAGCATGGACCCACCAAGATTGCGTTCGTTCCGCAAGGAAGCAAGGTTACCAAAAGAAAGAAAGCGAACGAAGCTATGGAAGACCAGAGCGGAGGCACATGGGAGGTAGCCGCTGACTTAAAAGGCTTTGAGAGATTCTTCCCCATTCCAACTACGAAAATGCCAGACATTGTGTTATGGGAGGAAAAAGACAAAGAGGTGCACTTGGTAGAGCTCACGGTGCCCCACGAGGACAATATATATACCGCTCATGAGCGGAAAGAAAACCGTTACGAGGCACTCGTCGAACAATGTGAGGAGGCAGGATGGAAGGCAACCCATTTTCCGGTAGAGGTAGGATGCAGAGGTTTTGTAGCAATAAGCGCCCGTAAGTGGATGAGAGTGGCAGGACTTAGTGCAAAGAAAAGCAACGAACTCTTAAACTCCCTTCAGGAGACAGCAGAGAAAGCCAGTAACTGGATCTGGTTGAAGCGAGAGGACACAGGCTGGAATGAATCCTAAAGTTGGCAGCAGAGGAAAACAGTCGAACTAGCATGGAGATCTCACATCGGTGAGGGGGCTCGGTGCGTCAGAAAAGCTGTAGAGAGAAAGGGCCCAAAACAGAGACGCATTCTCTCCTGATGATCTCCATGCTAGAGTCCGGGATACAGAGCGTTCGGCGGTGAGCAGTGCATACGGCTGTTTAGACTACGTATATATACTCACATAGAGAGAGAGAGAGAGAGAGAGAGAGAGAGAGAGAGAGAGAGAGAGAGAGAACGGAAGAGAAGAAGGAAGCATAAAGGAGAGGGTTTTTACAAAGCAAACTGAAGTTAGGTAAACCAGATCTCTTACACACAGACAGAGCCTCCGTGGACGCCTGTAGCCTGACACATAACACTTTCAAGTGTACAACCCGCTTTTTCAAAACCGCACACGAGTCACCTATTGTCCCCTGCAGCAGCAAGCAGACACCATCTACCACGAGCGCAGGGAGATGGAAGGGGGAGAGACAGAGAAGGTGAAATTTAAAAAAACAAACAAACAAACAAACAAACAAACAAAACAACCCAACAACAATAAAACTGCAGATCATTATGCTGAGGGCTTCTCTTTCTTTTTTTTTCTTTTTTTCGTTATTGAAAATAATATGCTTTATACTATTTTTATTTACACTTCCGGGAATATGGACGTTGGCTATAAACTATGCTCTCCTGTTATCGAATACGGGTTGGCTATGAACTCTGTTTTAACTTAATGAGTAGAAGATAAACTCAATTCAATTTAACATTTTTCATCAAAGGACATCTAACCCGCTTGCTGCATGTGCTATTGGCATGCCACAACACACAAAACCAACCGCTCAGTTCTCTGTCCGATGAACTGACACCCTGAGCTTTTGATGTGGGACCTCAAACAAAGCAAACAGAGATGCATTAGGTTTCAGAACACATCGCCCAATGACGTTTTTGATGAGTGTATAGAGTCAATCAGGTTTAAACCGTGGGCTTTGTTTATTTATCTCTCGTACGAACCGTGTATTAAAAGCGATGTTTTAATTTTGTGAGACTTTTTTTCGATCCATTCAAAGATAATGGACGATTTGGGGGTAAAACTGTTTTTGAAGTACATTAAGATAATTATTGGTACTGCACTCAAGGGATCCTTAAACCTAAAAGCTTAATGGTAAAAGGTCGATTTTCACTAATGCAAGAAATCTTAGTTACATGGAAACAGCATTTTTGAAATATTTTTGTTGTAAGTGTTTTACGGCGCTCGCAACTGCATAATGTCATAATATGAGCGCGCGGGACACATTAAACATTTTCAGTTGGTAGGAAATTTTGAGTTTAGCCAGGGTGCCGACCGAGGCCTACTCTTATCGATTTTGGACCACCAAGCGGTCTTTGGCGTGCGCAACTTAAAATTGCACTAGGGACCTCCGAGATTTTTTGCCCTTGTCCGAGAAGGTTAGGTCAGGTGCAGATCTTTTCTACCTTAAAATCAGGGTTGTGGCTGAAAGACAGCAGTAAGAAGGAGCCAAGGAGTAGCATTATAAAGGTTGCAGAAAGAGTCAGGAGCCCAGAGGAAGGGTAAAGGGGGTGAGGGGGGGGGGCAGA